AAAAATAATAATTATAAAAAAAATAATTATAAAGAAATATAGTGGTAATCAAAAATAATGGAATGCTTAAATTTTTTTACTAATTATAATTAGTAAAAAATTTAAGCATTACATTATTTTTTATTATTATTATATATAGATTAAAAAATTAATTATTTATAAATCTTAAAAGAAATAATAAATAAATAAATATAATTAATAATAAATGATTTATAAAATCTAGAGTTATTAATATATAAAATATATTAAATAATTAATTAAATACAGTATAATTAAATAAATATAATAATTAATTAATAAAATATTAAAATAAATACTAATAATATTCATATTATAATAATATAATTCAAATAAAATAAATAATTAATAATTATAAAAAGTATAAAAATATAAAAAAAATAATTTAATTATTAAATTTATATTTTAAATAAATAAATATTAAATATAAATTTAAATAAAAATTTGAATTATATTCAAGAAATTTGCTTGAATTAATTCAAATATTAATTCTGATTAATAAATTATATAATTATTTATGATTATATAGCTATTAAAAAATTTGATCTAATATATAAAAAAATTTATATTTTTATGTAAAATAAGATATAACATATATATTCATATTATAAAATAAAATATTCAATTTAATAATTTAATTAAATATATTCTCGATTTTGAAATTACTACTTGATTTTATTGATCTTGTGCTCTATTTAACATGTTTATCTCTTGCTGCTGTTAATATAACATTATAATACAAATAGACCATTTCAATATAATTTCTCTAAATTAATAATAATGTAATCAGCTGGGATCAATTTAAAAATATAATTATGATAAATCCATTGAAACATCACCACCGTGACCATATGAATAATCTTTATTTTCCACTTCAGCTTCAACAGCTCGGTAAGTGTCAGCATGCGGGCCAGATTTGATTTCACGGAGCCATGAATCAAACTTTGGTGTAGATCCTATTTATTATAAAAAATAAGAAAATTATACTAAAGGTTTCTTTATGTCAAAATTGTTCAATTAAACAAACCTTGTTCAGATAAAGGTGCCCATATTGCTGTTACTCGTAAAGCAGATCGAACCAATTCTTGTTGTTTTTCAATTTCGGATTTAATCGCATTTTCTTTAAGTTTATATGCTAGAGTAGCTTTGAGTGGTTCAACCGCTTCATCCATTTCTATGCAAGAATTAAGAGTTATTGTGACTCAAAATTTAAATAAATATATTAATTAGAGAAACAAAATTACTTACTTTGCATTACAGCAGTCGGAGCAACTTCTGTCAGTCGAATTAACATTGTATGTGAAAGCATCGCTATGTCATGAACATCAGTCAATCCAGCAAGAACTCGATCCAAGAAACGGAAAATATCCAGTTTATCACGACATGTGTCTAGTAAAGTGGACATACACTCAAAAGCAGACTGAATTAAAAGAATTCATGGTTAAGATATCATGCATATCCCTTAAAATTGCAAAAGATTTGTATAATGACTTGCCTTCCGAAGATCCAGCCCATCATCAACTTTATGTTTAAATGGTCCCATTTCCACCATGTGAATAAGATTTTCCTAAGAATCCATAATATTAAAATAAAGTTTCCCGAATTTCAATAGTAAAGGTAGTAAAATATTTACTTTTATAACAGTTTCCTCGTATAGCAATGGAAGCAATTGATCCAAAACGTCACGAATCAAATATGGTTTACTATGAGCAGCAGAATTCAAAGTCGACAATGAGAGTCTACGTACATTCTAGATAATAGACAAAAAAATGAATCTAATCTAAATGAAAATAAAAAAATCAACGAAATATAAATTGAGATACGCACCAAGTCACTATCCTTAATTAGCGATAAGAAATCCACTATTAGCGGCCGCAGTAATTCGTCGTATTGTTGACCTTGGTTTGTGAAAGTGTATTTAATTGCAGTCACGACTGTGCCACGAGTTTGAGCGGATGAATGACGAAGTCGTTTCTAATTGAAGAATATTATTTAATTCATTACTATATTCCGTCGTAAATTATTCATACGACTTTATAATAATTTAGCTTGCCTGAAGTTCTGGCAAGAATTTGTGAGGATTCGCTAATGTCAGTTTTCCAACACATTCAGCAACAACGTTACGTGTACCCTCTTCCACAACTTCACCACTGTCAAATAATATATTCCTATATACAAAAATAAGTGATATTTAGCAAAAGATAAATACATATTTGTAAAGATTCTTTAATTACACACCAAGTTTCATCAGCAAATGGACCCAAAGTTTTGACACCCGCATCGTTAGAGTACCGTGTAATGATCTTTTGATAAATTAATAAAAAGTCTCAATAAATATACTTCTAAAAATAAGAAACATTATAAGTTCACGAATTACTTCTTTAAGGGCATGTAGTAATAAATATCGTTTCTTTGGATCGGAGCGGATTATTTCTTGGATCACTATCGGTAAATATTTGTTGACATTTCCAACCGCGATATTACCAAGTGCGAATGCTGCTGCTGATTTAACTTCTTCAGAAGGAGCAGAAAATAATGACAATATAGTTCGGTGTAATTTATCTCCTTGATTGGCTAAATCACTGATAATTTAAACGTGTTAATAAATAATATTTGATGAGTTAACCGCAAAAAAAAAATAATTATTCTTATAATAATCCTTATAATAAATCTTACACTTTACGACCGATTTCACCCAATGTTAACAAGGATAAATATTTAATTGAATCATTGGAGTTTTGTTCCTTTTGTAATAGTACGTCATTAAATTTAGATTACAATTAATTGTGTTATAACGCAATAAATATTTACATGCCTCAATTTTTCGAGTAAACTCGACTGCTGTTGGTCCTAAATTCCTTGGAGAACTCAGACAAAGTGCCGCAATGCATTGTGCTATTGTAGAATATGACTAATTAAAGCGGAAAAAAAGTTAGAGAATGGTTTCAAATTCATAAATAAGCGATACAATTTGCAGATAAAAACCTGTTTTGATAAAGTCAAGAGATTTGGCTCTTGGGTTATAGCAGGCTTCATCAATCCGTTTAATAATTTATTGAATTCAGATTCTTTTGTTTTGACTAAAGTAATAAATAACGAAATTAGACTGTCCAAAGCCGCGCCTTGTACTATTGATGATTGGACAAGATCAAAGACAGTGGGAACTACATCTCTGTTGACTGCTATTATGTTGTCTGGATTAGCAATAAGGATAGCGACGACATTGTTCAATGCTAATGGTAAAAGATGCAAGTCTTGATCTGAAATATGAGGTGTCAATTCTAAATATAGCCTAGTGTATGTTTGTTGATTGAAATGACTTCCATATCTAAAAGCAAAAGAAACTTTTAGTATAGCAAATTATTAATAGGAAATGTATAGTTATAATAAGTACCTTCTAATAAACACTTCTAGACATATCAAACTAGCGACTTTTAATTGTCTTTGACTTTTTCTTAATAGAAGCGCCACTTCATCTACTGCTTCTAATACAGTCTTTGTCACCTGAGGATCTACGCAAACAGGACTATCAGCTATACTAGTAAAAGTCTTAACGGTAGTGAGACGCGTCACCTCATTTCTTAGACGCTCCAGTAGCAATGGCATGCATTGAGGAAGTTGAGGTTTCAAACTATCTCCCGTCTGTGATAACAAAACTCCAAGGCATAGAATCGAACGCTCTTTGACTTCTTGATCCACATCCAAAGTCTTAAGACGTGATATTGTAACATTATAAATCTCCAATATATATTTCTGGAGTGTTGGATCCAAGGGTTGATAATTATAAGTTTTTGTGGCAGCGGAATATTCGATTGGGCGTATAACTTTGATCAATTCAATGCATACTAAGAAAGCTTCGGAAGTGATTTTGTAGAATTTATCGTTCACAGAATTGATAATAGGTGGACACAGACGAGAGAGGTGCTTATGAAAGACATGCGGTTGATGGACTTTAAAGAATTGACGTAAAAATGTGAGCGTTTCAATTTTCAAGTTAGAATTAGTGCCAGAATGATGATGACCAGAATCAGAATTAACTGATAAAGAGTTTTCTATTGCCGGAATGAAAGATTGTATATGATTCTCTAATCCGCCGTTTAGAACGGTCACCAATTCACGGAGAAGAGAGAAACCAGTCTGTTTTGTGGAAATAGACTTTGATAACAATTGCTTTGATAAATTGCGACTTAATTTCGGAATTAAACCACGAAGAAGTTGCTTTGGACTGAATTGAAAATATGTTAATGGATAAATACATAGATATTAATTCAAGAATAGCAAAAATGTATAATCTCATTACATAATACCTGGTACCAGCTTCTAGCTCAGTAGCTTTAATTGCTATCGAGTCATGAGTATTTCTTGAGGCATAGTTTTCGCCTCCGTATACTAAAGTTTGCCTTAATAAAACTATAAATGTTTGAAAAATATCCACACGAACCGATTCTTCTCTTTCTTTGAAACGGTTCACCAACGCAGGTGCCACATCTTGATACAATTGTGAAAGCAACTCATGACGCGTTCCAATAATGGCAGCAAGTAATTTGGAAGAAGAACGTCTTACTTTCCAAGAAAGATCATCGTCGTCAGAATAGTCCCTAGATTCACCAATTAAAATATTAAAAACTTGGAAGACTATGCTGAAAGTATGCTTAATTAATCGAATATCGAATCGATATATGTACCCTTCTTCCTCATCATCCTCGTCATCTTCTTCGCCTTGCATCTCTTCATCTTGATTCATAGATTCATTTTCGTCTTCATCCATATCATCTTCATAATTTGGATCGTATTTTAGGTATTGCAAGCAAAGCTGAATGATATCCTTAATATCAGTAGTGATTTCTGTTGGACATCTCAATATAAATGATTCGAGCGCCTATAATTATCGATTAATCAATTTAGTATGATTTTGTATTAAATGAATTTTCATTGTAAGGAGACTTACTTGCAAACAGTTCTCTCTTAATTCGTCATCATTCACATGAACATTGGTAATTACAAGTGGCAAAAATTGCGGTAAATATTTTCCCAATCTCGGAGCACTTGAACGGCTATTTGATGAGATGAGAATATTAAAAAGGAATATTCTTTATATCTATTCCAAAATTTGCCTTTAATGTATTAATTCTCGTACCTTAAAGTACCTACACATTGAATTAGCGTTTTTAATTTGTCATGTTGATTACTTGATTTGTTGAATTCTGTCAATAACTTCTTGACTAAGTCATTAAAGAGCTCATCTTGTGTATGTGCGACAAGATTGCCTACAAATTGTGATTATATTAATGCTTATTACAATTAATAAAGAATTTTCACATTTTATTGAACAATACCTAGAGCAATAGTAGTTCTCTTTCTAAATGCAGGTCGAGGATGACTAAGAAGAGGCACTAATACATCTTGGATTCTTTTTTGAGTTTCGGGATTATTTGCAACTAATGTTCCAAATCGTGCCAGGATTTCACTCAAGCTATCCAGAGTATCCATTTGCACTTCATAGGTTGCCGATTTCTAATAACATAAAGTCAAATAATAATCATGATTGAAAAATACAAAAAAAATAATTGAATAATGCTTACAGTTTCAAGCGAGCTTAACAATCTGGGAATCAATCTTTGTAAAACATTATTAGCTATGGGTGAACTGCTGGGAATTTCAACAATTACAGTTTTCAATCCTTGAAATAAAAAATAAAAATTGAAGTTTAAAAGATTTAACATCTGCAAGATAGACATTCTGTTTCTTACCAATCCCGGCAATATCTCGTAATTCATCCTTTCCCTCTGCAGTATAATCACAAAGTTTATCGATAATATCCTGAAGCTGTGGTTCACGAACTTTTTTCACCAACGGACCAAGACTTTCATAATAAATATTTAACATATTAGATTTATACGGAAACACTTGATTATATGTTAAAATATGAGTAGTAAAAACTACCATTTTACTGCCAGATTCTGCACTTCTCCATTGGGATCGTTCATTAATTCCAATATTTTATTGACAACTTTCTTTTCAGTTGGTTCCTCCAAGGTGAAACCATCTTTCTGAAGTTCATTCATTAAATCGTTGGTAGCCATATACCGAAAATCGGTATCTGAAGAATCCATCTAAATAAATCGTTTCATTAAAATTTCTATAGAATATTATTTTGAAACATTTTTTATGATATTAATATCTCACCTTCTCCAGTAGCCCCGCTACCAAATACCCGCTTGTACTCATCTTTGCTAATTATCTTTTTTAAAACAAAAGAATATTTTTATAGATTGATTATAAATCTTGCAAATCAAATATTAAGATTTTGTGTAACATTGAAACAAAAATATAAAACGAAGTAAAAAATAAAAATAATGAAGTGTGAATTTTCAAAATTTACAGTGCGTTTTGCCAAATCACGCTAATTTTAAAGAATCTCAATAATTAAGTTTTTCTGATATATGTACATTTCTTTTTTACTGTTTCCTACTTTTCTTTCGAGCCCTAAAGTAGAGATCTTTTGACTTCCAAAATTCACACTTTGAAGGAATGAAGTATTCTTTTGCGAACAAAAAGCAATAATTATTACCTTTATGCTAATGAATGAGTTAATAAGGAAAATGATAAAGTAGTAAAACGCCACTCGCGAAGCGAAAAGTTCATTGATCAATTCAATTTCTCTGCGTCTATTTTTTATTTGAAAATTTTGGTGACGTATCGTCTGTAAAACCAGTGACTTTTGATAAATGTATCCACCCAATTAGGAAATTTGTGATTATCAATACTTCATTTGGGAATTTATTAATTAAACATTGTTCCGGTTAATGATTCTATAAGATCAAGTTAAAGGTAAGGATTAGAAATTAAACAAGAATCTTATATGTAAAATAGTCTTCCCGAAATTTTTAACTAGTATTCCAAGACAGATTTAGACACTAGTTTTCTTGAAATATTCGCACTTTTAACATTTTAATTTCTTTGTGTCGGATTTGTTTTTATCATGCTGATGCATTCTTATTGGTGATTGCTCACCCTTATTGGTTGGAGGTTACATATTTCCAAATTGGATCACAGAATGTCAAAATTATGAAAAATTCAATTACCAAGTATCTTAGAGATAATTTTTCATATATTTTTTTTATTGTATATGGTACGTGTCTTTATGCATGAATTATATTTATCCTGATCGTTAATCAATCTCCATAAAATCTCCTTCGAGGCTAGTGTTTATATTATCATAATTCTTTGAAGGCGTCTCATCATCGTCAACACCTGCAAATTTAACTGAAAACTGCTGTAAAGATTTTGATGGTCCCGATTTCATCGCTGACCTTGTTTTTATCACAGGTGCAGATGGAGTATCATCACCAGCTACTGGACTTCTATTGATTTCTTTGGAAGGTTTGAAAGCATTTTCTTCAAGTGCACTAATTGGATTATAGATAGCATGCGTTTCTAAAGATTTACTATTTTTTTGGTTCAGTTCCAGCTCGCTGTTTGATGATTGACTAAAGTCATCGGATGAGTTCGTGACGAATTCAAAAATTTGTTCTATAACAGCGTCACAAACGACCGAATCATTGACCCTTTTATTATTAATTTGGGTTGGCGTGGTGAAATTGGTTTCATCCCGAGAATTGAACAATGATGGCGTTGAGAATGATGCAAAATCCGGTGTTTTCTCGATAGTGTCAATTGATGGCACATATTTATTAGGTGTTGTTGGTCTTAAACTTGAATTACCTAAAGGAATAATTGTGTGTTTACATTTTAACCTTTTTAAATAATGGACAAAATAATCTCGTTACCTATATTTGCATTACTTTTCCAATTTTCTATCTCATTCGCCTTCATATTATTTTTTGAGATTGTGAAAGATACGATTTCATCTTCTATCTCATTATCGTCGTATACTTTTGTTGAAAAGTGATTATTAATGGTCACTTTTGTTGTTGCTGTTGTTGTGGGATTTGTATCGACATACGTATGACTTTTTGGTTTGGTGATGCTGTTGTTTATGGTGTTCGTGTTGATGTTGCGATTAGCTCTTGTGTCTAAAATACGAATTCTACAGTGGATATTAATTGATTTCGTGAAGTAGTTTCATGATAAACATTTATTTAAAGTCTACCTTTTTTTAAGTCAAGTTCAATAGCTTCCATGTCCACATCAGTATCAATTGAGGAAGATTCATCACCATTATTATTAGTGAAATGAAAAGGGGTAATTGGTATAGATAGATTTCTATAAGAGAATAATAATACTAAATAATTATCCATCAAGCATCTACGCATAAAAAATTGAAAATAAAATTCTAACCTAATAGAAATAGTATTTTTCGTGCCTCCTTCAGGCAGTAGTATACTATTACCACTGAACATAATATAAATATCGTAAATTTAACCCTAAACTTGAACCAAAAGGTAAAACTAATACAAGAAATATTAACATGTCTATAAGAATCACCTTTGTTCTTTGTTCAACAACCAAATCGACTCGTTAATTTCATTCAATCGTGTTCTCAATGATTCTTGAAGAATAGACACACTTTGTGATTGAGTCTTCTGCTCTAATACACATTGTCTGAACACGTTGATCAATTGCTCAGATTCAGGAAATATTTTTTTAGATTCTGAATATGTTGCAGTGACACGATGAGATCGTAAGGCATGAAGATTCAAGGTCTGTATTGCCAGTTTCCATAGCTTAATTAAAGATTCTAAATCCAATTTTCCATTTTGATATGGATTAATTTTTTCCTGAATTAGATGATTAATTACTGTGGTGTTACTAAATTATATGAATAAGAGAAATGCAAAACTTAATTACTTTATGAAATTGCTTCTCCCACAGTCTCATCATGATGTTTGGGATCTCTAGACGAGGTTCATGACCATTTAATCGATACATGTTTGACTGGCCGCTAATTATATCATCAACATTTTCTAGTACACACAAATGAATCAATAATAAAAATAAAATTTTAAAAAAATTATAAATATTTTCATGATTGTGAATAGATACCAATACGTTTCCGATTTTCTTCTATCCAATTTACACAAGTAGCCCAAAACTCACGAACATTCTCAGTTTGCTGAAGCCTTAATGAGTAAAGTTGTTCAACCGACATATTATCAAGCTTCTCAAACAAGCTTCGGTTTTGGTAAAATTCATGATTTTCCTTTTCTAGTTCATCCTTTTTTGGATTTAAAAAAATTCTTATTGCAAACATGCTAACACGAGTTAATATGCAAATGCTTAATTGAAAAATAAAAATACATTGATACATTATTTGCAATGACAGTTCGTATCCTTTGAGTTAACTCATCAGCTATATTCTTCCATCGATCTTGACACACTTTTCGTTCTTGAAGATGTCTAACAAATTTCTCGGTTTGAATTTTGACGTGTTTCTGTTATAATTACAGAGTAGAAAGAGATTGGAATATAAATAAATTTAAGCATTTTAATTTTATAACTTAATCATACCTTTAGCGTATTTTTGCGCATCTCTGGAGCGAGTTTCTTGAGACCCTCAAAATCGATGTTTAGAACTTAAAAACCAAAATGTTAAATTCATTACAAGTAAAAACAAATGCAGTGGAACCAAAAGAAGACGGGTAGGTGTACTTTGGGTATGCTGAGGATAATTATTGACAAGAGTCTTTTGAACGACGTAAGAGGAAAATGCCATAATGATGCGCTCAAATCTTAAATAATAGACATATACACCTATGAGTTATAAAGAATCTTGATATATTCAATATAGTTCTCAAAGAAACAATAAACTATATTCGTTACCTGTCGCCTTGACATTCGTTAAAAAAACTTAGTCTCAACACTAAATCGTTGTTCCCGAGACACCCTTCCTTACGAAACTGTTCTAACTTTTTAAAGGCGACTTGACGAAATTGCCTGCTTTCTGCAGGATTGGTCACAGGCCAGCAACCGGCAAAATTCTAATTACAGACATGCCTTTTAGTCAATGTAACATAACAAAAGAACATCAAGTTAATTGTTACAAACATCTCTTGCACCAACGGGATCCAACCGATCAAACAGAAACCACACAATGAGTTCCATAGCCTTGACATTGTTGGTGCTACGCGTGAATACGTCTTTGTCGAATATTATTGTAGAATATGCTCCAATAGCGTGTATTTCAGGTTTGAAACCCAGCAACATTAGATTTGTCCAAAAGATTGAACGCGGGCAGTATGTTTGTGATGGAAGGTAACGTAACATTCCGGTATTGGTCGACATTTTGCATAAATTTCTATGAAGGCAAAAGAAAGATGAAAATTAAGCAACGTCACGCGTATCATATCGAACGCGTATTTATTTTTATATTGTTACACCCGATACTCTTTAAGGTTTTGGATAATCTCATTAAGACGAAGCCAAAATTACATTAAGCCGAAGTTTCTGGTTTACCAAATTTTTTATTATATATAAATTTAGCTTTATACGAAATTTAGTAAAACGAAATCTTGATAAGCCAAATAAATTGTCTCTTCCTCCGACCTTCGTCTTATCAAGTTTGCCTTGTACATGTATAACTTGCCATGTGAAGTTCGAAGCTTTACGTCAAAGAATTATAATTTATTTCGTTTTAAAAGTTAGAAATTTAATGTAATAATCCTGTATTATATATATTACATATTGATATTGTTAGAATCGTTTTTAATAAAAATAGATATCTTTATAGCCATCCTCTCTCTAATTATAATCACAAATTCTATAGTCATATATAACAATATACCAAAAAATGGATGGATTATAATACTTCAAAATATAATTATTATTTTATGAAGAAGTTATATAATTTAATATGATATATTATTTTAAAAAGTTCTATCAGATTTGAGTAACTATATTAATATAATAGAATCATACCAATGATAAAAAAGAATATTCTGTTTATAAAAAGTTAAAAGTATTAGATAAAAAAGTAAAGTTTGAAGAATATGTATTAATAATGGATACTGTAACTGTTATAATTCAGTAATACTCACAAAATTACTAATATTGCAACTAGTTATAATTTATAGTATTATGTATATATAAGAAGAGTTTAATATATATATTAAATAACAATTATTTATTATATTATATAAATTATTATATGAATCATTGCAAGAAAATTGATATACTAATATATAAAAATTAATAATTGCTTCTAATATAATTTTTATATTAATTTTAATCAAATTTTATATAGTAAAATTTAAGAAATACATCAGAAAATTTTTGAGAGCACAGTTTTATACAGATCTTCAAATCCAAAATCTATGTAAAACTCTGAACCTAGTGACAATTGGTAAAGAAAAAAAAATTAAAAAATCTGTATAGATCTATAACAAAATATAGATCTGTGCAGATTTTTTAATTTTTTTTAAAATTCTGCACAAAACTTAGCAATATCAGAACTGATGATAGAGATAGCAGAAAAAGAAATCAAAAA